GACAGTGTTCCATGTAAGTGCAATTTGTTACCATTCATTTAAAGTAGAACTCATGTGAATGATATCTGATTTTTATTCCACAACGAATGTTTGATTATTATTTAAAAATATAAATCTGATATAAAAAATTATTATGTGCTAGTATAATGCCAATAAAGCATTGCTGTTTTGCGAATTGTACGTCGATTCGATATCCGAAAGAAAACGTGAAAACGTGTTTTTTATACCATTTATAAAACCTCATTCTATAAGGTTAGACGTAAAAAATGGATACATGCTTCGTGGAGAGTGGATTTAACAGTGCAATAAATAATATTCATATGTAGGCTCTAAACATGAAATGAATAGTAAATTTTTCATAATTAATTACCATTGATAGGAATGAGATATAACCTCAATCGTTTATTGAATTATATTCATTTATTATATTCAATTAAATTTATTTCATTACCATATATATTTGATTCATATTTCACTCGAAAATAAATGTGAAATTCATAATTATTTTAAATTTCTTTTATTACAGTTTGAATCTACCGCTACTCTTTTACTAGAGTCTGTACCTATACTAACATGTCTATTTATTCACTTTTTTCCAGTTACTTTTGAATTACGGCATGCAAGCCAACGCTTTAATGTTACAACATTGTTATCCTTTCCAGTTGCAAATTTTAGTTTTGCTCCAGGAACATTTTCTTCTGTTAAAAACATTCTTTTTTAATTGTACTTTATCATATGTTTATATGAGGGTTAGGCAGTGTTTGTCCCTACCGAACTACTAGCGCTGCTAGTGAATGTTTTTCGTACTTCAGGAAAAAGGTTCATTGGATAAGGATTAATGCTGTATTTTTTAAATCGCTTCGTAAATAAGCCATTATTTCTCGAGGATAAACAAGTTATTGTGGGTTATAATTAAGAGATAGACATATATCATTGCGGACTTTTTTGTAGACCTTTTCAAGGTGTACAATACTTGAAGTACATTTTTGATATACTTCGCGATTTCCGAGCATTTTGTTTCGAGCGCGGTATCCGGGCGGTTTTTTATTTTTATGCCAACCCCTGCATTTAAATGGAACATAACGGTGTTTGCGATTTTTAATAGCGGTGATTTTTTACAACCCACTGATTGTCGGATCCTGAGCGACAATCGGAAGCCAAAGGCGTCCAAGTAGGAGGAGAACCCAGGTAAACAAACCCGTGAAATCAGAGTATACTATAATACTACCCTCAGGATAGCGCACGTAAATGCCCGGATTATTAAAAATAAAATATCTGAGATTGAATGTCTTATTGATGATCTAAACTTAGATATACTAAACTTAGATACACACTGCATTTCTGGATTCACTGGATTCAACATTCAAATATAGAGAAAGTATCATCCCCTGATATAAAAGTAGCCTCGTTTTTTGTTCGACAAATCCCTAATGGAAAAACTCTAATTTCAACAATACCCTATAAAAATTTACACAGTGACAGTCACAAAAATTATGTTAATAAAGGTTGAGAAATTGTCCATGAAATGGAGATATCTGTAAAATCCACCAGAACTATTTTGAATAAGAATAAATATAAATGCTACAGGATAAGAAAAGTTCATCACCTCAATGAAAGGTTTTACGGAAGGAGAGTACGATTTGCGAAGTGGTTAAGATGTAGAAATGGGAAAGTTGGAAATATTTGGAGAAAAATAATATGATTGGTTTAACAGAAATATCCATTATAGGTGGAATGATACTTACAAATGAACATAAAAAGGTTCGGAATAAATATTTGGTTGGGAACAAACATCCTTGGTCCTTTTTTTTACGATGATCATTTCAATAGTGAAATGTATCTTCATTTTCTATTCAATGAATTCGATGACTACTTAGATGAATTGCTACTGAATGGGATGACGCTAGTCTCCCTAATGCAGCACTAGTAAAGGAACATTTAGATGCAATATTCCCAAGAAAATGGATTGGCAACAATGGACCAATTAACTGGCCAGCTCGATCCCCAGATCTTACTCCATCAGATTTTTTTTTCAACAATAAGTACAGATATCGACCATCTCAAACAAAAAATAAGAGATGTATGTATTAGTATTACATCTAGGTATTATGCTAGAAAATCGCCATAGAAATTATCTGGACCGACAACTTATGTGCATTCAACAAAAAGGTCGTCAAATCAATCATTTAACGCAGATTGCCATGTAGCTTTGATTTTCCGTATTGGTTTCATTTTTCCCAAAAGTTCATGATAAAATAAATTGTTTTTCTGTTTGATTGTTATCACCGATGATGGTGGTTATTTCAAATGAAAGGCTATAAAAATATCGAATGTGATATACCTTTGGATTGTGAATTTGTCGCTTTATCAATATCTGTAATAAAAAATACAGGTCCATATTCAAAAATCAAGTTGATGGTGGCCATGTTGACACGAAACGTTTTATCGAATATTTATTATTACATCGTCATAGTACACTTTGAATACAATAACATTTTCCTTTTCGATTTTTTTATATTCTCCGAAATAACAATTCCATTCGAAAAAAACGAAAAACAGCATTTTTGGTTTTCCTCATATAGCTCGAGAAGTGCGAGAGTCCCGGGAATTTTCTTCGACCATTGTATTGTTCCCGATGACCTTTTTTCCCATTTAATCGTCTTCGTATCTATTACGCTTTAGAATATAGCAATATTACCACATGATAAAAGAAAGGTCCTGTATAGCAGTACGGAGAAACAACTATCGACCGCAACGGTAAATAGGTTTCGGTACGGGGGCGTGTCTCAGACCTGAGCCCTAGGGATTTCAGGTTTCATCTCCAGTCTGGGTACGACGGTAGGTTGGATTTGTTCGGCTGGCTCATCTTCCTGCCGTGGTCGATGGATATTATTGTTTGAAGACTGGCCCCGCCATGAAGCCACCCCAAGTCTCTCTCTACTTCAGGGTTACCCCCTGGCCTACCTCCACCTCCTAGTTTTTCCATTAGGGTGCCAGTTTCAAGCTCGTACTGGACAAACGGCTCACTTTTGCGCTGAATGTCCGTGTTCCGGAAACCGCTAAGGGTTTCTCTCTGGAGGCATCAACTGCCTTTTTATCCAAATGCAACATGCAAAGTAATTCAATCAAATTAAATAAAATCAACGAAAAGCAACGTAATTATAAATATTCTTCTTCCGCAACAAGGCTATTTGAACTTAAAACCGAGTTACAAATGTTTCTTTCAGATACTTCTTTCAATTTGAAAGAGCGCTTGTATGATAAAACTTGGTTGTTCCGACTGTCTATCATGGAATGTATCTTTAAAAAACTGAACGAATTAAATGTATCATTGCAAGGTAACCAGTCAACAGTGCCTATTACAAGCCTGTAACAAAATAGATTTTTGTATTATTTGCATTGGTGAGAGAGAAATAGAAAGTTTCACGCCACTCAGTGAATTTGTTGGCGATATCGACTCGAAATTTTTCAAGATGATGTACTTATTTGAAAAATTGGTTCAACAGATGTCTCACTTCGATGCGCGCATCCCGAAGAACAGAATACAAAATGAAATTGAATTCATGGATTCATAATCTTTTTTTACCCAACTTGGAAAAGCCCGAATGTATGTCAAACGAAATATATGAGTCTCTTTCAGAAATATCACCAGACACAAGTATGGAGTCCCTGTTCAAAACGACTTCTCGCAACGATTTTTGGTGGAGAATCCGTGATGAATATCCAATGCTTTCCAAAATGGTCTCTCCATTTCCCAACAACATATTTGTGCAAAACAGGTTTCTCAAGCTATACAACCACGAACACAAAATACCGCAATAGACTGGACACCGAACCTGATATGAGACTATCTTCTATCAAACCTAATATCAACCAATTGATAAAAAATAAAAAACAGTTTCATACTACCCATTAGTTAGATTTTTTCTTTTTTAATATTTTCTATATTGATACTTGTTATATAAGTGAGTAATAAGTAGGTAACTGTTACATTGTACTTTTATTATGCTTATTAATGAAAAATACACTTCAAAACTATTGTTTTATTGTAGGTTTCCGTCAAGTATTTCGCTTTCCAAAAGGGTTCCGTCACAAAAAAGTTTGAGAACAGCTGATCTACACTTCTTTGTGAAGATCTTTTATTGAAGTTAATCACTTTCTTTGGAAGCTTTCCACTTTTTTGTATAATGAGGGAGAACGTAGAAAATAGAAAGTCAAACGATTATCAATATATTCACAGGATTCGCACAAGTTTCCATTTCTAAAGGTTGTAAGGGGGCAACAGCTGGTTAACGGTAAAACACATTTCATATTTTTTTATAATAAACGCAAAATACAAAACAATACAGTTCATGTTTAATAAAGATTCACTTGAATGCACTCAATTCTGAAGAATATCATTGATATATTTCAACTACAATAGTAGAATTTCCATCGTCTACGTTTAATGACACGAATTGATAATTTTTCATGGATCTATAGAGAAGTGAACATCCCACTGCGACATTCCATCCGTCAGAAATTGAATGTTTAACCCCAAAAAGCTGAACAAAACTTTCGATTCGTTTATCCACGTCTAAAGGGTACATCTCGTAGGCTTCTTCTAGGGCTTTTAATGCGTCTCCTGCATACTGTGCCGAAGGTACGTTGGAGTCATTTATGGAAATCTATAAAAGAAACAGAAAGAATGCATATGTATTACAAGTTGAAACAAAAAGAAAACTATGTAATCACTAAAAGTTGTTATAGCGAAACTGACCATGTTTTTCAGAGGTATTGAATCTATTTGTCAATTTTTTTTTTCACTCAACAAAGAAGATCATATGAAAATCACTAAAGTTAATTGAATTGCTGAGTTATAACTTCATTTTTCATAATATTGGGATGGTTTTAAACATTTTTCAAGTCATAAAATAGTAAAATATCAAGTCATATAAATGTTACCAATGAGTATTTTTGATATTCCAATTTATAAATATTTTTCACGGCACTTAAATAGAAGAAGAGGCAGCATTGAATTTACATAAAAACATTTTTTTCTAGTATGATCTGACCTTATTTTGATATGGTAGCGGGAGACAATTAATAAGTAAATAAAGCATCTATCATTTTGAAGAATCCAAATTTTCAGGTACTGTAGTAACATTAGTTACAAATACAAGTGGTATAAAAACATAGGAAGTTTCAATTATCATTTTTCAGGGTTATATGGATCTAAACTAGTATACTCGAGTAAAAATCTTTTGAACAAAAATAATTACATTTCACTCTGTGATGCACTGCAGCGTGACCACATTTTATTTGAGAAATCTACCTACGGTGTCATTGAAAATGTACTGAAATCTGCTGCAATATATTTGAAGAGCACCAACTTACCAACATAGTGAAATTTGAGTTATCGACCACTAAGTGGTGTTTGTAAAGACATTTGAATAGCATCACTGAATCTACAAATCATTGTCCCTCTTATAGTTTTGATTGTAGACATTCAAAAACAGACATGTTTCCATGTTGGAAATGAAACTTTGAATTCTTTAAAAGTTTGAAAACGAAAAGTGAAATGAGGTTATGTATCTGAAGATATATGTTTCAATCCGGTTGTCTTCTTTTATAATATTGATTAGTTGATACCTATACTCAATAGTCAATTACGATAAATATGTAGACAATACCAAAATCATCATTACATTATTATATTAAATTTTCTTTATGTTTATGACGTGACTTTTGGATGGAAGAGCAATTTCTACCTTTATTTTTCATATGCAGATATTGAATTCTGCCATTTGTTATGTTAGGTTAGTATCAATCAGAAAAAAAATAGTGAACATTTTTATCATTTTCGAAATAAACTGTTTTCATCAAAACATTTTATTTTTCATATCCCTCAGTTCCTCACTAGAAAATGAACCCAAAAATAAATAGTTCATTTTTCGGATCTATCAATCAGTATTATAAAACACACTCTTCGATAAAAAAATTGGCATATTTCTAAATAAAGCATACCATAAATTCATAGATTTGCATTCAAGTTTCCACACTTCACATGTTAATGATGAAAGTAGGTAACTGATAAATTGGTTAGGGCTTTCTCGGCCGAGATTTTCAGTGTAACTATCTTCATTCGGATTTGAAGGCCATCATAGTTTGAAACTGCATCCTAACTTTTCGCCAGTACGCCGATGTCATCAGTGAAACATCAAGAGGAATAAACCTCTGAAGAAGCCAGCCACTCGGGCCGGCGAAAGTTAGGATACGGTTCCAAACTAATACGGCGGCCTTCAAACCCGAATGAAGATAGTGACACTAACTGAAAACGTTTTCATCAAACATAAGAAAACTTATACGAAAACCAAAAGAATATCTGAGAAGTTACTTGAAGTTTTTCTTTCACTCATTCCAAAATATACTCACAATGGGTGAAGCAAATATTGATGCACAGAACACTATAACAATCAATCCCAAAACAAATTTCATTTTTGGGGATTTCACTATAATCTTTTGTCTGAGAAAATTAAATGAATAAGAACAATCAAACACATATTTATAGTACAATTATTTTTGCTAATCCACGATATCTCGCAATATCATTAATGAAGGTTCGACATAGGCGAACATAGGCGCCGTTGTGTTTCATAATCTCAATACTGAGAGCCTTCGAGAGTCAAAAACCATTGTGAATTTCATTAGTTCGGAAAATGATTTGAAATCCCTAAAAGACCCAAAACAAATGAAAATTTAAAAACAATAGCTGAAATGTTGTTTTTTGAAAACATTGTTTTCAGCTGGTTGCCTATGCAATCAGTGGCACATAAAATTGTTGAAATGATTAAGCAATTCTCTCTCTAGATGAATGATACATTGTAAAAATGAATCTGGGGGCATATATAAACTTCCAAACTACTATATGCCTTGAAACATTCGTTTCATTCAGTGTGGTACTAGCGGCCGTGGCAAAATTTGTACATACTTCACATGAATGTTTTCTTTCCACAAACATAGCCCAAGCTGTTGCCTTCTGGAGTGGCTAGAGTTCTATAATCATTTATAGGGATTTTTTGGAACTTCCACAAGAATCTTCATTCTATTTATGTCTGCATCTGTAATACTAGATAGAATCTCACTAGTATCTTCTAGACAGTTAGTTCCTTCTGCCTGTGTGAAATACTGAAGAGTAAATGTGTTTTTGAAAGCTCTGGTAATTTGAATAGGAGTTGGGTTTCTGGCATTTCCACAAGTACCTATTTCTGAGTTGTATTCTTACCTGAACGATTTGTGGGGATTGCATCTTTATTTAGGCGGTTTTTTCTGGTTGATGTAAAATATTTCTGATCGAAGTGAAGATGACATCACCAACAAACTCCACGAATTTCTTTCACTGCATGCATCTAGAGAATAGATAAATAATAATAACAATAATCTTTATTGGCCCCAAGAAACATTTAGTGTTTATAGTAAAGATCTTGATCAGTTGAAAAATACAAATGAATATAGGTACTAAATAGACTGAAGCAGAATTTGATGAGAGACAAAAAGAGGTAGTTTAGCAAACGTTCATTTCATTTTGTTTTGAATCGTTTTTCTGAAATATTTTTTTTATTTATTGGGTTGATTGTTGTAAATGAAAACTTCAGTATAAAATACAGATTTCTTAGTTTTGGGTTGCCTAGTTTGCTAATTATGAAGTGTGTCAATCGAATGAAATTCTAATGTTTTTCGTTATTGATGACAGAATCTAAAAAAAGACATATTTGCTATTTATAGTAGATTATCTGGAACATATAAATGGAAAGTAGGGTTCAAAAAAGGTTATTTGAATATACATTTGATACTTTGGTTTTGCAAAGATTTCAGTGGAAGTAATTGTTTTCCTACAGATACAAATCAAAACTTGATGTGGTTCAACAATTATTTTCCTATGTGGATTTCCAGTGGAACTGGAGGCATGTACTATTCGTAAAGTTCAATTTCATCAAATTAAATTCATAATAAAAAGTCTGCATATTAATGACTCCACTATATATGATCTATAACAATTTATTTTATGATTTTCGTTATATGTTCATTACTTCAATCTTACATAATGAATGACAGAAAAACATACCCTTTTTCGTCAACTGGAAATTTTCCACAAATACAAAACTCCTCTTACAATGACTCGCTCTGTAATAATATTCCATGCCTCAATTTGGCTCGCTTGGTAAACGTCTCAGATTCAGTCGGTTGCGCTGTAGTTAGGCCGCGCATAAAATTCGAGGTGGGGAATCTTGACCCGAATAAGGCGGCGAGTGAACTTACTGGTGTTTACTTTTATACGGTGCCATTAAATAGAACAAATTGGAGAAAAACTAATTTCGTATTTTTGGTAGATAATGAAGTTTGTGAACTTAGAAAGTTCTTGCAAAGTATCAATAGTTAAAAACATTCGATAATTCAGTAGTTTTCCAGAATTCCAGAAAGAGAAGTGACCCACTCAATTAACGAAATGAAAAGAAGACATGAAAAGGAGTATACTTTAGAAAAATGTGGGAATCTTCCAAAGGAAAGAAGAAAATAAATGATTTCAAAATAGACTCTATATAAAGATGTATATTTCATGCACAGAAGTAACTTTCAAGCATAAACTGGAAGAAAAAGCCCTCTCATAACTACTCTCATATAAACACTGAATTACACGGAAGAAAAAATACTTTCGAAATGACTATATTTTTATTAACACTGAATTATAAAAAAAAAACATTTTCCCATTCAGTTTATACTCCAAACATTCGTTATGGAATTAAATCAGATATCATTCGTAGGAATACTACACAATATAATATATAAAAGAGGTAAACTTTTACTTAGGTACATGGAACACTGCCATCATCAATGACATTCACTTTTTTGTATGAAGATGGAAAAATGAAAGCCAAAACCTTTTTGTCTCAAAAAAGAAGAAATCTTTTATATGAAGGTCTCAATTTTGTATATTTACCCAGGTTTTGAATAATGAATTGGTGGAGTTCGTAAGGCTGTATATTTTCAGTAAAACCTATCTTCACTATCGACTACTTAATATTTTGGTAAGAATTCAATGTTGTCATTGAATATAATGTGAAAGTTATGAAAATGTTACTACGAAATAGTAAAACTTTTCCATAATCAGCACATAAGATCGATTTGTATTTGAAAAGAACTTGCACTGTGCATATTCTACATATGTTTCGTTAAGAGTTATTTATGATATATTGTTTTCTTACTTTGGAAGTTTCGCACTTTGTATGTACTGAAAATTGGAAGGCAAAAATAATGTCTGTTGAAAATGTAAATGGTTTTGTTTATGAAAATGATAATTCAAGAATAATATAAAAATGACACGGTTGTAACTATAAAAACATCCAATATGAACTTGACATTACATGCCGGACCTTATATGCTCCATTTTCTTTTATAGATTTCTATAAACGACGCCAATGTACCAACAGCCAAGTATTCACTTGACGCTTTATCAGACCTACAACAAGCTTATGAAATGTACCCAGCGGACGAGAATAAAAGAATCCAAAGTTTCGTCGAACTTTTTTCTCTTCAGCATTCAATCACCCATGGATGGAATGTAGCGGAGGAATGCACATATCTTTATAGATCTTTCAAAAATTATATTTATGTTACACTAAATGTAGTAGATAATAACTCAACCAGTGTTATTAAAATATTTAATTAATGTCTTTATATACACACAATTATCGTAATCAGCTCTTCGCATGAACTTTCACATAATCTGATTTTTGAAATATTTTACAATTTTTACCAAATAAATATCTATACATATGTACATGTTTTATTTTTACTCCCTCAAAAACCTGGTACCTCATAACCTCAAGAAAGTACCTGAACTGTTCGGTTTGCTCTATGGAATAAATGTACAGACTCGAATATTTTTTTTATTTATAATATCTGAGTTACAGTTTATCGTGAGATTTTCACTGGACAGTAGGACAATTATATAAAATGAAGATGGAGATTCAGATGACCCCGCGAATCTTCGCCCGATCTCTCTCATTCCAACTATAGCCAAAGTTATTGTGAAAATACGTTTGACGGTTTTCCTACAACACCACAATATCTTGAGTGAATGCCAGTTTGGTTTTCAAAGCAATAAAAATGCACAAGATGCCATCTTTTCATTTCTTTATGATATTTATTCAAATAATTTTGATAATGTAGCAGCTGTGGTCTTTTGTGATTTTTCTAAGACGTTTAATTGCGTTCATCATATGATCTTGCTAACAAAAATTCACCAATACGGCTGCAGAGAAATGACGCTAAAATGGTTTGAATCTATGAGCGCTCGTTCCTACACGAGCCACATTTTGCGGTCGGATCGACCAAACAATTGCAGTCGCATTCCAGCGAACTCAAGCCGCCCATAAATAATACTGTACTACGAGTACACGGGCGTTCAAAAAAGTCAAAACGGACGTCTGCAGTCAACTTGCTGCTGATCTCCGCCGAGATGTCATCGCGGCATCCGCCGTACACTAACCACAAACTTGCAGTCGTACCCAACCGCGTACACCGTGGTGTACTTTTTCTCAAATTGGTCTCACAGCATTCAATTTTTGACGTCAGTTGCCTCAACTGCAAGTGCGGTTTATATGACCGCAAGTCGACCACAAAAATGTGGTTGGATCAACCGCGAAGTGCAGTCAACGTGACCACAATGTTGTGGTTGCCTCAACTGCAAATATGTGGCCGTGTACGGCGGGACTTACCTTTCAGGAAGAAATCAAATGGTAAGAACAGGCATTTCAGAAAAAAAGAAAATTTTGTGTGGTGTTCCACGAGGATCAGTTTTGGGACACATCTTATTCTTATTATATGTCAATGACATTGCAAATTTGAGCATTTCTATAATTTTCACTTTTTTCGCTGATGACACGGCGATTTTGTGGAACAACAAAAACTCAAATAATTTACACAATGCAATATCTACTGATATGAAAAAAATCAAAGAGTGGTGATGCTAATTTGCTATCCTTCAATATCACTAAAACAAAAATTTTATCATTCAGATGTGCTCTTGATGACCTGTCATTTGGTGATAACTCAGTTATCAAGAACGAGACTCAGTGTAAATTTGTAGGTATTCACATTGACAATAAGCTCAAATTTATTGAACACACAAACAAATAAAAAGTAAATTTGTTCTGGATGTTATGCAGTGAGAGTAACTTCACTAATTTGGGAATCAAAACTGCCAGAATGGCAGTTTTGCCCTCGTTCGATCCCACCTGCGTTATGGAGCACCGTTTTGGGAAGTATGCAATTCATCAGCACTTCTATCTGTATTAGTACTGCAGAAACGGGCTATCAGGTATATATGTGTGAGATTGAACCTTGTGATTCAATAAGACACAAATTCGTTCAGCAAAAGATGTTACCAGTGATTGCTTTTCTCATTTTGGAATCGCTTTGCCTCATTTACAAAAAAATATGTCCCTATTTGAAGCTTCATGTCATTCTTATAGCACCCGTTCCACCGCGTTGAACCTGCC